AGCGGGGCGACAGTGAGAAAGTTAGGCCAACACACTAGAGGAGAGAGAGAGAGAGAGAGGAAAAAAAATATGGGAGGAAAGCAAGCAACTCACCACCTGAGTCATCCTCCTGGATCCAACCTTCTGCTGCAGAGGAGACACTGTTCCTGACCAGAGAAATGAGCAACCTCTGAAAATAGGGACTTTTTCTCCCTCGAGACCACAGCTAGTCAGAAACCTTTTCATACAAACCCAGACCTACCGTACTGGGCTTCCCTACCTGGGCTCAGGTTGAGCGTGAGCAGAGCCCTCACCAAACCAGACACTTATCTCACTCACAGCGGCGTCTCCTCAGCTCCCAGATTGACGGCTTTTGCGTGGCATCAGCAATGTTCAGAGTCTCGACGCTCTGGCTCGCTTTCCATCGCATGAGGGCAGTAGACTCTGACGCGTGACTTCGTTTTCCTTTATACTAAACCCAGCAGAGAGGGGAAAAAACAAAAAAAAATTAGCATCTGCAATGTCGCGTCGACTCTTCATTTCACATTTCCCATATCCCACGGCTCCGCCCTCAACCCATCATCCATTACTATGTTACAACTGCAACTAGAAGGCACCCATTATAACGGCACCCAAAATACTCACTTTGCTCAGGAGACTCTCGTCCCTTCCTCTGCCTTAATCCCAGAGCCTCAGAGCCAACGAGAGAGCACACGGTCTCGGAAGAAAACGACAATGACTACAGATGAGGAATTGAAAGCACTGACCTCTTACTCACAGCCAGTGATACAGAAGGCAGAAACATGACAACTATTCACGTCTCCTTAGAAGCATGTCCAGGCTGCTCAGGTCCACTTCTGCCATATTCTTGTCCGGCTAGGGCTCCGGGACGATTCCTCTGCAAACTAATAAAGCCAAGCAAGAACTATCACTACACAGAGCTCTATTGGTGCTGAAAATCTTGCCCTCAGCCCTGCCTCCTTCTCCTGTCCCATCTACATCAGCCCCATTCGATGAACAGAGACTGAGTAAACACAGACAGTCACAGCTCCACTTTAGTGCCCACTGCCCCGCATGCTTTTCGTCCACTCTTACTTCTCCATGGCGCCCGAGACCTGGCTTGTAGGGATACACACCTAGCACGTCTACCACTGTCTTACGAAGGGAGACAGCAGAAGGAAAGGGAAGGACAGACAGACAGACAGACAGAGAGAGAGAGAGAGAGACACTGTGTGCTGGCCAAGAGAAGAGAAAGATGGGAGGAAGGCAAGCAACTCACCACCTGGAGTCATCCTCCTAGATGCAACCTTCTGCGGCGGAGGACACACCGCTCCTGGCCAGAGAAATGAGCAGCCCCCAGAAATGGGGATCTTGTCTCTCTCATAAGCGCAGCTGGTCAGTAACCATTTCTTACAAACCCAGCCCCAGCTAACAGGGCGTCCCTAGCAGGACCAAGGTGGACCGTGAGCACAGCAATCACCAAACCAGACACTTATCTCACGGAGAGAGGCGTCTGCTCGGATCCCAGATAGATGGCCCTTGCCTGGCATCAACAGTAGTTACAGGCTTGCTGCTCTCCCTCACTTTACATCGCATGAGGGCAGTAGACTCTGACGCGTGACTTCTTTTTCCTTGGTACTAAACCCAACACAAGGGGGAAAAAACAAGCAAGTTACCATCTCAGTAGGCAAGGCCTCGTAGGCCCGTCTTTTCATCTCTCCCACACGACTGGCCTCCGGCCTCAACCGTCTTCCCATTACACCTTTAGCATTACAACCAAAAAGCACCCCTTGCAACAGCACCCAAAATAATCACTCTGCCCAGCAGACTCCGTAATCTCTGAGAGCCCCGTACCTAACGAGGAAGCACACGGCCTGTGAAGAATATTACAGCGAGCACAGATGAGGAATTCAGACCATTGACCACTTACTCACAGCCAGCGATGCAGAAGGCAGAAACATGAGGACTATTCATGTCTCCTTAGAAGGATGTCCAGGCTGCTCAGGTCCACTTCCGCCATATTCTTGTCCAGCTAGGGTTCCTGGACGATTCCTCTGCAAACTAATAAAGCCAAACAAGAACTATCACTACACAGAGCTCTATTGGTGATGGAAATCTTGCCCTCATCCCTGCCTCCCTCTCTAGTCCCATCTACATCGACCCCGTTCAATGAACAGAGACCAAGTTAACACCGACAGTCACCACTCCACTCTCGCACCCACTGCCCAGCATGATTTTTGTCCGCGACTCCCAAAACCTGGCATGTAGGGATGCACACCTGCCCATGTCCTACGAAGGAAGATGGCACAAGGAGAGTAAAGGAGAGGAGAGACAGTGAGAAAGTTGACCAACACACTAGAGAAAAGAGAGAGAGAGAGAGAGAGAGAGAGAGACATGGGAGGAAGGCAAGGAACTCACCACCAGGAGTCATCCTCCTAGATGCAAACTTCTGCTGTGGAGGACACACCGGTCCCGGCCAGAGAAATGAGCAGCCCCTGAAAATGGGGACCTCGTCCCCCTCATAACCACAGCTAGACAGGAACATTTTCTTACAAAGCTAGCCCCAGAGAACGGGGCATCCCTACCAGGAGGAAGGTGGGCCGTGAGCAGAACAATCACCAAAACAGATACTTATCTAACTAAGAGTGGCGGCCGTTTCCCTCCCACTTCGATGGCCTTTGCGTGGCATCAACAATGTTCGCTGTCTCATCGCTCTGGCTCGCTTTCCATTGCATGAGGGCTTGAGACTCTGACGCATGACTTCTTTTTCCTCGGTCCTAAACCCAGCACAAGGTGAAAAACAAATCCATTACCATCTCACTTGGCAACGTCTCATAGGCTCTTTCTTTCGCCTCTCCCGCACGGCGGTGCTCCTCCCTCAAATATCTTCCCATTACACTTTTAGCATTACAACCAAAAAGCACCCCTTGCAACGGCACCCGACAGTCACTCTGCACAGCGGACTGACTCCTCCCCAGCCGTAATCTCACAGACTCCGTGCCCAATGAGGAAGCACACGGCCTGTGAAGAATACTACAGCCAAGACAGATGAGGAATTCAGACCATTGACTGCTTACTCACAGCCAGTTATGCGGGAGTCAGAAAGCTGAGGACAGTTCATGTCGGCTGACAAGGATGTCCAGTCTGCTCATGTCCACTTCTGCCACTTTCTCCTCAGGATAGGGCTCTTGGAAAATTCCTCTGGAAGCGCATCTGCAAAAGCCAAGCATGAGCCATCACTACTTAAAGCTCTATTTGTTGCTTCAAATCTTGCCCTCATCCTGGCCTCCCTCTCCAATCCCATCTACATCAGCCCCACTTGATGAACAGAGACTGAGTTAACACCGACAGTCACAGCCCTGCATGATTTTTGTCCCCTCCTACTTCTCCATGGCTCCTGAGACATGGCCCTTGGGGATGCACACCTAGCAGGCCTGCCCATGTCCTACGAAGGGAGACGGCACGAGGACAGGAGACGAAAGAGAATGAGAAAGTTGGCCAACACACTACAGGACCGAGAAAGAGAGAGAGAAAAAAATGGAGGAAAGCAAGTAACTGACCACCTGGAGTCATCCTCCTGGTTCCAACCTTCTGCTGCGGAGGAGACACCGTTCCTGACCAGAGAAATGAGCAGCCCCTGAAAATGGGGACCTTGTCTCTCTCGTAACCACAGCTGGTTAGGAACCATTTCTTACAAACCCAGCCCCAGCTAACGGGGCATCCCTACTTGGAGCCAGTGGGGCCCTACGCAGAGCCCTCACCAAACCAGACACTTATCTCGCTGACAGTAGCGACTGCTCCACTGCCAACTGGACGGCTCCTCACTTGCATCAACAATGCTTGCGGGCTTGCTGCTCTCACTCGCTTTCCATCCAACGTGGGGAGTAATCTCTGATGTTTGATTTCTTTTCCCTCCGTACTAAACCCAGCACAAGGAGGAAAAAAACAAGCAAGTTACCATCTCAGTGGGCAACGTCTCATAGGCTCTTCTTTTCGTCTCTCCCACACGACGGGGCTCTGCCCTCAACCCTCCCCATAACACCTTTAGCATTACAACCAAAAAGCACCCCTTGCAACAGCACCCAAAATAATCACTCTGCCCAGCAGACTCCGGCCCCTCCCCAGCCGTAATCTCTCAGAGCCCCATACCCAACGAGGAAGCACACTGCCTGTGAAGAATACTACAGCGAGCACAGATGAAGAATTCAGACCATTGACCGCTTACTCACAGTCAGTTATGCGGGAGTCAGAAAGCTGACGACTGTTCATGTCTGCTTACAAGGATGTCCAGTCTGCTCATGTCCACTTCTGCCACTTTCTCCTCTGTCTAGGGCTCCCGGAAAATTCCTCTGGAAGCGTAGCTGCAAATGCCAAGCATGAGCCATCACTACACAAAGCTCTATTGGTGCTTCAAATTTTGCCCTCATCCTGGCCTCCCTGTTCAATCCCATCTACCTCGGCCCCACTCGACCAACAGAGACCGAGTTAACACCGACAGCCACTGCTACGCATGATTTTCGTTAGCTCTTATTTCTCCATGGATCCTGAGACCTAGCCTGTAGGGATGCACACTTAGCACACCTGCGCGTGCCTTACGAAGGGAGACGGCACGAGGAGAGGAGAGGAAAGAGAGTGAGAAAGTTGGCCAACACACTAGAGAAGAGAGAGAGAGAGAAAGAGGAAAAAAAATATGGGAGGAAAACAAGCAACTCACCACCTGAATCATCCTCCTGGATCCAACCTTCCGCTGCGGAGGAGACATTGTTCCTGACCAGAGAAATGAGCAAGCTCTGAAAATAGGGACCTTTTCTCCCTCGTGACCACAGCTAATCAGAAACCTTTTCATACAAACCCAGCCCTACCGTACTGCACTTCCCTACCTCGACTCAGGTTGGGCGTGAGCAGAGCGCTCACCAAACCAGACACTTATCTCACTGACAGCAGCGTCTCCTCAGCTCCCAGATGGACGGCTTTTGCGTGGCATCAACAATGCTCAGAGTCTCGACGCTCTCGCTCGCTTTCCATTGCATGAGGGCAGTAGACTCTGACGTGTGACTTCGTTTTCCTTGGTACTAAACCCAGCAGAGGGGGGGAAATACAAAAAAAAATTAGCTTCTCCGTCTGCAATGTCGCATCGTCTCTTCATTTCACATTTCCCATATCCCACGGGTCCACCCTCAACCCATCTCCCATTACTACGTTACAACTGCAACTAGAAGGCACCCATTGTAACGGCACCCAAAATACTCAGTTTCCTCAGGAGACTCTCGTCCCTTCCTCTGCCTTAATCACAGAGCCTTGTATCCAAAAAGGGAGCATCCGGCCTGGGAAGAACACGACAGCGACTACAGATGAGGAATTCAAAGCACTGACCTCTTACTCACAGCCAGCGATGCAGAAGGCAGAAACATGAGGACTATTCACGTCTCCTTAGAAGTATGTCCAGGCTGCTCAGGTCCACTTCTGCCATATTCTTCTCCGGCTAGGGCTCCGGGACAATTCCTCAGCGAACTAATAAAGCCAAGCAAGAACTATCACTACACAGAGCTCTATTGGTGCTGGAAATCTTGCCCTCAGCCCTGCCTCCCTCTCCAGTCCCAACTACCTCGGCCCCGCTCAATGAACAGAGACTGAGATAACACCGACCGTCACCGCTCCACTCTCGCACCCACTGCCCCGCATGCTTTTCGTCCGTGACTCCCAAGACCTGGCTTGTGGGGATGCACACCTAGCAAGCCTACCACTGTCTTACAAAGGGAGATAGCAGAAGGAAAGACAAGGAGGGAGAGAGGGGGGGGGGGGGCTGTGTGTTGGCCAAGAGAGAGAGAGAGAGAAGAAGAAGAAG